TACTTCCATTTTAAAAGATCTTTTATTCTCCAAGGACAAACTAAATCTAAAATAATGGCCAACATTAAAGGGACAGGGACACTTAGTATTTGTGTTATTTATCAGCTTCTGGATAATCAGGGGTGGACTGATAGATAACATAAATAATATAGTTAATCATGGATTCCATTGTATAGGAATTTGTCCTGGTGAAAAAGAATCAGGTAGTTGGAATTGAGTAGCTTATTAATGACTGCACTTTCCTATTTCTTATGGCCTGAGTGATTTTCCAGTTTTTCCTCCATTCTTCTCTTTGATTTTTATGTAAAATATTAAAGTGTTCTTTCTTGCCTTTGGCACAATGATAAACACAAGACAGACCACTGAGAATCTTTGGTCTGGGAAAGAGTTGTAATCCTTTCTACTCATGTGGTCCCTTTTGGGAGCTAGTTAAAAGTGCAAAACCTCAAGTCCCAACCCAGACCTACTGAATCAGAACCTGAATTTTTTAGATTCCCCTAGATGAGTTTTGCATGTTAAAGTTTGAGGAGCCCAGCTCAACCTAGAGTTTCCACTGTAACAGTAGCTTTAATAATGGATTGGGTGAGTGGTTAACCAGTAGATAACAATTAATAATTCTGATGTCCCAGTCACTTGCCTCCCCGGGTCTCAGTGTCCTCATCCATAAAGCAGAAGAACTGAAACAGGTGATTTCTAGTTCCCATGGTCGCTGAGATATTTCCAAACTCCTTTTTATTTCTGAGATTGTAGCTCCATCATAGCCAGGAGAGAAAGGATTATCCAAAATCGTAGGTCAGGTCACACATGATCCCTGCCCTCAGATATCTTGCAAATGGCAGGATAAAACTGACACATGTAAGAAACAACAGGGAAAATATCTGTGTATATTATACTGAGTTTGACAGAGAGTTATACTGTGTCAACATGAGCTTGCATTCTAAGGAAAAGTCAATAAGAGCCTTTGAAAAACAAGAATTATTTATGCAGATGAAAGGGGAGAAACTGGGTTTTCTAGGACTTGAGGAATAGCACTAACCAAATACAGAAAAGAGTGGGGAAATGCCTCTCAGTAAGTAGGGTAAGGCCAAATTGCAGGAATCACGACAGGCAGAATGGGAGTTTACATATGATGCAAACCTTTGAATTGAAAAATAGTATTATTAAAAAGGCATTGGGGATAGGAGTCGCCTGTTGGTATCTCATTGAGAACACAAGGTTAGAAAAGCCACTAGGAGTGTTGCCATGACACATACTGACGTCCTAGGAAGAGCATTTATTCTTCAAATAGCAACTAAAGCAAGAGGAAAGGCCTGGTTGAGAGCACGATTTGAAAAATGGGTCATTAGAACGTGCAGACCTCTTGGCTATAGGTGAAGGAAAAGGAGAAGTGAGGAGAGAAAAGGCATTTATGTTTTTGAGGTCAAGAGTAAGGACCTGGCGTCAGAGAGACCTGGAGTGTGAATCCACACACAGCATATATATGCCTGGAGCACAAGGGATTTGGTTGTAGATTTGGGGTGTTTTTCTCAGTAGTTAAGAAATCGAGAGCCAGGTGAAATATGGAAAGAGAGTTTATGAACAAAAGGACCTTACACAGGCCTTCCTTTCTTCCTCTGTAAGATAGAGAACTGGGGAGAAGGTGATCTAAGGTCACTCATTTATCTCCACTGGAGCACTTATTAACAGGGTAACAAGTGTTTTGTGATCATAAACAAGCTTTTCTTAGTTTCCTAACTAGGAAAAAGATTAATCTAGTTCAAAAGGAATTTTTAAATATTCACTAAATTGGTAGTTTTCCAGTGAACTGTTCATGTGATCAGTAAATTTGGTTTCTTTTTGGTAAGTTGTATATATAATGTTAGAAGCTCCAAAGTGAATTATTTACCAAGTGAGACTTATTCCTAAAAACATATTTGAGTTGAGTTATTCTTACTAATTACTATAAATAATTGAACTCCAGAATGCATTATTTAGCTAGGTTAAGCCTAATGAAAATTATTACACAGTCTCTGTAGTGATTTAGTATGACTGTAGTCTCTCTTCACATTGAGTTAGTAATGTAGGTGTGTCTGTTCCCAGATACTCCCTGTGGCTCAGAATCTCACTTTATTCTATCCCTTTCCACCATAAATTAGACACTATTATCATTTTATATTTTATAACCAATGATTTATAAGATTTACTCTGTTTACGTTAATGTCTTTATTTACTACTCTTTCTTGCATCCCAGATCATCCTTCTGGGATCACGTAACTTCTACCTGCTCCATGTATTTTAAAATTTCCTTCAGTGACATCTACTAGAGGTAAATACTAGGTTTTAGTAGTCTGAAAATGCCTGTAAAATGATCTTATTTTGGAAAGATACTTTGTGTTGAATTCAACACTGACAAATAATTTCTCTTTGCACATTGAAGACACTGTTCTTGCATCCATTGTTGTTGGAAATAAGCCTTCAGTCTAGGGACTGTTTCTTTGTAGGTGATCAGTATTTCTTTTCTAGCTCCTTTTGAATGCTTCTCCCACCCCGACCCTTTGGTCTTCTCTATGACTGATGTATGGATGGAGTTTCTTTTTAGTATCCTGCTTCGGATTCATTGAACTTCTTGAATCTGAGAATTGGAATCTTTTAGTAATTCTGAGAAGTTCCCTGCCAATATCTCTTCAAGTATTGTTTCTTTCCTGTTATCTCTTTTATTTCTATCTGAAATTCTGATTACCTCCTGTAAAATTATCACATTTTCTTCTGTATATCCAATTCTCCTGTTTTTCTAGGCTGCATCTGGTTTTTCTCTGTATCTGTAGGATCAGTCCAGGGTGTTCAATGGAAGGACTGATGTTGAAGCTGAAGCTCCAATACTTTGGCCACCTGATGCAAAGAGCTGACTCATTGGGAAAGACCCTGATGCTGGGAAAAATTGAGGGCAGGAGAAGGGGAACGACAGAGGATGAGATAGTTGGGTGGCATCACTGACTCAATGCACATGGGTTTGGGTGGACTCTGGGAGTTGGTGATGGACAGGGAGGCCTGGCGTGCTGCGGTTCATGGGGTTGGAGTCGGACACGACTGAGTGACTGAACTGAACTGAACTGACAGTTAGCGTGTCTGATCTTATAGTTTCATTTACCCATTGTATTTCTCATTTAAATTTTTACGTTTTAGTTTCTAGAAGTTCTGTTTTTTACTCCTTTTCAAATGTATGTGATCATTTTCTGTAATTCTTGTTCTTTATTCATATATTCAGCTTTCTCATTTATGTTCTTAACATATTAAATGAAGCCATTTTATATTCTCTGTCAGAGCATTTTACTATCTTTGAGGATCTTATTCTGCTACCTATTGTGTCTTTTGCTTCTCTTTCATGTTGCTTTATCTCCTTATGTAATTTGTAATATTTTTTACAATGAAATGCTTATTTTCTCAAGAGAATTACTTGAGATCTGGTTTGATGATGCATTCCTCCACAAACAATTTGCATTTGCTTCTGCCAGTTATCTGGAGCCGTTACTCCACTTACATTAAATATTCTGATGTTTCTCAGACCACACTGAGAATGTGGATGTAGACCAAAATCTGTATGAGGGCCCACTTTTGTTTATAAATAACTAGAGGAGAATTTTTCCCCATCTACTGATCAAGGTTGCAGCAAGCAAGTTTCCTTGCTCTCTTCTTCTGACCTTATTTTCCTTCCCTTACACTTATTATTTCCTTCCTTACAGTTGAGAGTGGATCTATTTGAAGTATCTCAGCTTTATGTGGGGTCTCTCCTTATGCCCCCCATACTGCATTAAGCTATTAAAACAGCTGCTCAGGGTCTTCCAGGGTTTAGGAGAAAGCCTCAAGGCCAAAGCTTCCTTTGGTATTCCTTACTCCCTGAGATTCCAGCTTCCACTTTGTTTAGGTATCTGAATATTCTCTCTTTTCATGCCAGCTCAGCAATGCATTGCAAAAGGCTTTTCAGTGCATTTGCCAAGTATTTGAGTTGTTTCCAGATAGAAATGAAATCTTTATATAAACAAAGATTTAAATGAGAATATTTATATACTTAAAAAAAAAAGATTTAACATGACAGTTGAACAGTCTTATTTGACTCTTTGAGACCCCTTGGACTCCTTTGAGACCCTCCAGGCTTCTCTGTCCATGTCATTCTCCAGGCCATAATACTGGGATGGGTAGCCTTTCCCTTCTCGAAAGATGTTCTGGACCCAGGGATAGAACCTGGGTCTCTGGTATTGCAGGCAGATTCTTTACCACCTAAGCCATATGGGAAGCCCATCTAAATGTTTAGTTATATATATATATTTGTCATTGTATGTATTTATAGAATTTTATTTATATATACTTACAATAACTTTATTTCTAGTTGCATATGTAAATACCTTGATATCTGCTATGCACTCTAATATTTTCAACTATTCCTTAAAAATAATTCGCATGACTTTTGTCACTTTTCTTTGAAAGATAAAGCAAACATTTGGTATGCAGTTAATTTAGGTTTAACTAAATATAACCAGCTGTTACCACATTTAAACATTCTCGTTACATTGTGTAGAACTGTAGAATTTTTCAAAACCTGCCAAAATAATAGGGTCACAGAAACAGTCATATATAGGTCCAGTTGTTATAAAGGAATTACTTATATGGAAAATGGTAGCAACATTTGAACTGTTGCACAAATGTTAAGGTTAAATATAAATATGATTTCCTTTGAGCAAAGAAGTCATCCTGGGGAAAGTTGTGTTTATACTGCATTTTAGAAAGTTAAATAATTTCAAAATTTATAGTCATTCAGAATTTCAAAAAAACCTGTTAAAGATGGTGAATCTCTTTATCTAATTAAGGTCTTCAGTAAAGCAATTGATTTGCCCCTTTTAAAAAAAAATCTTATTTCTTACAAGACATTTTCTTCAAGTAACTACACATATCATTGCAATCAGTAAAGACAAGCAGCTGCAGCCACCCTGCCCTTCCTCCCTAATCAATAGTCATTCTTTTTCTAGTATGTACGAGTATCTTTCGATACAAAACCTGATCTCCTCCTACACCTGATGACCAAGGAATGGCAGCTGGAGCTTCCCAAGCTTCTCATCTCAGTGCACGGGGGTCTGCAGAACTTTGAACTCCAGCCAAAACTCAAGCAGGTCTTTGGAAAAGGTCTCATCAAAGCAGCCATGACCACCGGAGCATGGATATTCACTGGAGGAGTCAACACAGGTAATTGGAGTGGGCCAGAGGAGGACAGCCTGAGACTGCAAGATTGTTGTGACTGAGATCACTTTCTTCTAACGTTAAACATGTTTACATAGCCTCACCTCAGCCCCTACCTCTTTATGGCCACGGTTGCTGGTCATTGCTCCTTTCAGTGATTCTCACTCCTTCCTCTACCTAAATGATAACTGTTTTTGTCATTTCTCTACCAAGAATTACTAACACTTAAGACACAGACTGGGATACCTGACAATATAGAATTTATAAATTTGACTGATGGAATTTGACAGGTTATTTTCAATACCTCAAATTGCCAAATAAGCATCCAGTATTTTTTTAAGGAATAACTTTTGCTCTAAATTGGAGACTCCATCCCTGTTCTCTAAGTGAGTTTAAGTTTGATGCAAGTAGCTTTAATTTTGGCAAAATGCCCTTTTCATCTAGGATAACAGCAAACACCGGAGTAGTATGTGTTTATCATTTAAAATATTTCATTGAATCAGCTCTGCACCAGCAGAACATATCCCACTCTGAAGTCCAAGTAGTTTTTTCTACCTGCCAAACAAGTTTCTATGTTGTGATCCAGGGAGGCTGTCAAATCAGTTCTTAAAAAGCCACTTAGAGTTAAGTGCTTATCTACAGAACATTGTGAATGTGCATTTGGTAATGGAATAGATGCCTGTAAATTGTTTTGACATGTTTCCCCAGAGTGAATCAGAAGTGCCAATTGGAAGAGACAGGTAATGCTGCAGTAAGTTAATTCAGACTTGTTTCAAGACTCAAAGTCTGCCCACACGGACACATTTAAAGTTAATGGGACATTCTGAACATAACCATGGACCAACTAGCTTTAAATAAAATGTTATCTCAATGTCGTTTAGTCATTTGTTTCTAGTTTAGATCAGGGGTCTCCAATCCCTGGGCCGTGGACCGCCTGTTAGGAATCAGGCCTCACAGCAAGAGGTGCGCAGCAGGCAAGCTTCATCTGTGGCTCCCCATCACTCCCCATCACTTGCATTGCTGCTTCCACCATCTCTCTCTCCCCATCCCCACCCCTGTCCGTGGAAAAATTGTCTTCTGCAAAATCTGTCTCTGGTGCCAAAAAGGTTGGGGACCGCTGATTTAGATGATGTTTAAGTGACACCTGCACTCAGAATTCTTCTTCATATCTAGAATTTGTGAACATTCAGCCCACAAAAACATAGGTGCATTTCTGCAGTGAACTCTGCCAATTTCCTGTGCCTATCATTGTCATGTGAAACCCTGACTCAGTCTGTAAACCGACATGATCTTAGAATGACCTGCCCAGCCAGCTGTTTATGTTACAGTGATCAAATATCTACAGAACAGTTTTCTTTCTTGGCTGTTGAGGTTTTAAGCTCCAACTTCCACTCATAGTTTAACAGGCATTGTTTGCCTATGATTATTCAGTCTTTTGCTTTCCTGACATAACCTGAAACTCCTATGGAGAGCAACTCAAAAGTTTCTAAAAGAAATTCTTACTAGGGAATTCCCTAGTGTCTGGTGGTTAGGCCTCAGCGCTCTTACTACCAGGGGCCCGGGTTTGATCTCTGGTCAGGGAACTAAGATTCCAGTAAGTAATGCAGAACAGCCCGCTTCCCACCCACCTAAAGGAAAGAAATGCTTATCTTCTGTTTGCAGGAACTTGGGACATTGTATATTGTTTTTCTTCTTTTGTGAAAAGCATCCAATATCAAAAGGAGAATTTATAGCATCAGGATTGTAAACCGAAGAGTTCACCTCTACCTCTCTCCAGGCATAGTGTTCAGTCCAGGACTCAAAGTGAGGGTCTAGTGGTAGCACACTCAGCGTGAGTAAGAGATGATAATGAAATTGTGTCAGGTGGAGGGAGGGGTACCATGAAGTTAACTTTCTTGTCCAGGACTGGACCCCAAAGGAGTTTTGCATATAAATAGGAAAAAAATTTAACACTAATACCGATAGCTTTGCTCTTGTATTTGCTTTTCTTTATCAACACTCTCTTTTAGAAGACTCGTAGATGGACGACTAAGTGATACTGATGCTCTTCTCAACACTCCCAGCACAGCTGAACATGGATTAGTGGCTGTTTACACTCCTCTGTTGTTTGATTTTTTTTAAAGGAGGCTTTTCCTGTTTGATCTTATGAATATTGCAGGACTGAGTTGCTCACACATGTCTGTTGTCTCCTATGATTAAACTGCCTGGTGTGTTTTATGTGCTTGGTCGGTTCAGTGACCAGTTCCTGAGCCCTCCCTCTGTGCCGGCACCTGAAGCACCTGCAGAAAGGAAGACACTAACCTCCAACCTTCTCCTCAGCGAGTTTACTCTGAGCAGAGACATTCTTTCCCACGGGTGATTATGAACCACAGAAGAATATGTTCAGTGACATACTGAACTATTCAAAATACACCAGCTGCAGCCCTGTTCAAATGGAGAAGAAATCAAACCCAACTTAGCTTTCATATAGGAGAGGGCTCTAGGTGTGAGTTTTTCCTTGAAGAATGGGTAGTGTTTTCCTTAAAGAATAAGTTGAAACATCTTTTTCTTAGAAAATATATTTTATATCTTCTATAAAAATGGTCCCTTGAGAGGGCAGTTAAAAGATTAGAAATTACATCTTCTCCAAATAATTTATTAAAAAGTAAAAAGTATGTTTCCTACCATCTTGTAAACTGAATTTTCTCTCTTAACTATGGTGAGGAAGGTTGTGGTGATGGGAGGGCCATTAAGACAGAGAGGAAAATAATTAGAATGATGTCTAAAAAGATGTATTCATGTATTTTTAACATAAATTTTCCACAGACTGTGTCAACCTTTTCTTTACTAGCAGAGTCTCCACATTATGTCTCTGTATATAAGAAGGTGAAATCAAGATTAACAAAATCCAAGCCAAGCAATTGCTCTATTTGATGACCCTAATTCATATACAAACTTTGGTACAGATTTAATATATTATTTATGATGCTTTTTATAGGATATAGTCATGCTGTTAGTTCTTAGTTATGCTAATACATCATTATACTTATAAGAAAAAGATTCTCTAAGTATATTTTTCTTTTCATAGACACTGTATTCTTCTTTTTTTTTCATTAGAATAAAATAAGGAATTCACTGCTAGAGTTCATCTGTAAGTCCGGCAAATGTATGCAGCATTAGAGCTACAAGTTTATGTTCTCTCCTGAACACCTGTCAGTTCAGTTCAGTTCAGTCGCTCAGTCATGTCTGACTCTTTGCGACTCCATGAATCGCAGCACGCGAGGCCTTCCTTGTCCATCACCAACTCCTGGAGTTTACTCAAACTCATGTCCATCGAGTTGGTGATGCCATCCAGCCATCTCATCCTCTGTCGTCCCATTCTCCTCCTGCCCCCAATCCCTCCCAGCATCAGGGTCTTTCCCAATGAATCAACTCTTCGCATGAGGTGGCCAAAGTATTGGAGTTTCAGCTTCAGCATCAGTCCTTCCAATGAACACCCAGGACTGATCTCCTTTAGGATGGACTGGTTGGATCTCCTTGCAGTCCAAGGGACTCTCAAGAGTCTTCTCCAATACCACAGTGCAAAAGCATCAATTTTTTGGCGCTCAGCTTTCTTCACAGTCCAACTCTCATATTCATACATGACCACTGGAAAAACCATAGCCTTGACCAGATGGACCTTTGTTGGCAAAGTAATGTGTAGTTTTGTAGAAATATGTCAAAATTTTATATTCAATGCATTTAATCTTAAAAAAAACAGTTACCACAGTTTCCTTTAGATCAATGGAAAACAATGCTTTGAAAGGCAAGATTAACATTTCTCTTTTTCTGCTTAGGTGTTATTCGTCATGTTGGCGATGCCTTGAAGGACCATGCATCTAAGTCTCGAGGAAAGATATGTACCATAGGTATCGCCCCATGGGGAATTGTGGAAAACCAGGAAGACCTGATTGGAAGAGATGTAAGTTCTGGGAGCTTCTCCTCCATGTTACTTCTCATAAAGGGGATATCAAAAGAGTAAAATAAAATTAATCAGGAAAGTCCTAAGTAAGACTTAACTTTCCTCTTGTTTTGAATCAGTAGGGTATCAATCAAATCAATCAAAATATCAATCCAATTTTGCAAGTACTCTTGGCCCAGTTATGTTAAAATTAATTAACAAAATGAGCTCATTGACTGATGCATAAAATGGGGACTTTTCTTCACCCAGGTCTCCAACTTCTTTGTCATTTGAGTGTCCTTCACCTAAGACAGGAGGCTACAGAGGGAGATTCTTTCCATTCAAACTTGTGGCTTCCCTTTCCTTTGCTAAATGCTTGGGTGAGGAGTGGGCACACTCCTGGGAATCTTTATTCCCCACTCCAGGACTGCTCAGAAGCCCTTGACCAAACTCAGAGGAGTATCACCCTCTCTTTCCTATTCTGTTGTCTAGAGCCACACACTGAACAGAGAATTTGATTCTATTTTTTTCTGAGTCATCATCTTGTTTCTGTTCCTTCCAGGGTCTCATTTTTGTTTGTTTAAAACTTGCAAACATTCCTTACCTCCCTTTTAGAGTTTTTCTCTGCTACTAACAACCGATTTTCCCCTTATGCAATGCTTTCCAAAATTCCACTGGTATGAGTTAAACTATGCACACAGATTGCGAGGCATTATTCACTTCTTTGTCCCCAATAATTTTAGCAATTAATTATTTATCAATGCTTCTCTAAATCAGATCAATACAATCCTTCATTCCCAATAAAGACCTGCAATACAGAATAATAAATGTGCTGAGCAGTTTTTTCTAAGCAGCATGAAGTCTGTTTGGGCCAAAAAAAAAAATTTTTTTTTTTAATCAAAGAGATTGAGAAGTAACTGATCCTAAACCACTTCTTCTATTGTATTACAATATAGTGAAACCATCCTATTTCAGTGAAATATGTGCAGTTTTTAAAATGCAATGCAAAAACTTTGAATTTAAAAGTCAAAGATCATGAAATGGAAGCAGTGAATAAATACTCTTTGAAACCTTCAGAACCTTTAACTAATAAGAAATGTCCATATCTATGCTACCAAATTACATGTAGAAACACAAATCTATTCAGAATATATAGAATAAGGAATAAGATAATTTTATCAGTGTAGTATTCTCTTAACTAAAATGTACTTGCTGTTTTGTATCACATACAAATTAAATATCTCAAGCAGCAATTCCCAGATTGTTATGTTGGCAGAACTGACTGGAAAAGTAATTCTAATTTTTTTCAAAGTATCTGAGACTAGTCTTTGTGGAATATATCTTGGTTAATTCTTGCCTTAGATTCCTAGTTGACTTTTAAGTATTTATCAGTTGTGAACTAGAACAAATACAGTTCTTAAAGAATTAGAATATGCTAAAATGTCCCCTAATACCAAGAGCATCTAATTGTTCATTTTATTAACAAATGAATTAACTATTTAAAATGTGATGATTCAGAAGTCATTTTTAAATGTTCATAGTTTCACATCTCTCTTGTAAACCTGAGTTGTTTTTATTCAGCTTTGTGGAGGGAAAACCATTTTGGAACTTTCTCATGCAGATGAACTGTGAATAAGTGAAAGCTAATTATTTCTTTATTCAAGATAGAGTAGCCACGTAATTAGCTCAGTTGCTTAATCATTTTCAAAGAATGCTGGCACTGCCTTTCTGTGTCATTTTTGTTTGTCTTCTAATTCTATATGATTGCACAAAGGCAGTACTTATATTGTGTTCACTTGCCTTGCTGGGTTAGAAAAATCACCTCTAATTCATTTTCCTCCAATTCTAGCTTTTTTCCTTTGATTTTACCTCCTCACGTTCTCCTCTTTTTCACTCTCCTTTTCTTTCTCCCTGTATTTCTTACCAATGCTACACCTATAGGAACTTGTGCCTATGCCAGTAGGGCTTACTTACGTTATCTGATTTCCCAATGTAAAACTGGTCTTGATCCCAGTGCAGAGAGCAGAAAAAGCCACTTATAAGTTCAGTAAAATGTGCACATTCGTTGTCCCTTCTTACAGGGGTCTGACAAAGGCAAGTCATGGCTCACCAAGATCCAGGTGAACTTGCAGAGAGATTGAGAAAAGGAAATAAAATTGGCAGGTTGTAGAAAGCACAGGAATAGCAATTGTATTTTTGTTCTTTAGTAAATCTTTGACCAAGATCTATTGCATTTCAACCATTCTGGCATATTTTCCCCCAAACTGGGAAACCAGAATATGCATAAGATTTCTCAGCCTCTTATATAATAATAGTGTTTGTTTTTCAGTGATAGTGTCTGTAAATTATTTGGAACAAAAATGCTGTTTCTGGTTTACAGGATTTATGACATAGCTTAAGAGACATTGTAATATATATTTATTATGCTAATGTGATAATTTAAAAGGAATATGATGTCAGACTATCATAAAAGAAGTATTTGAATGAAATATTGGTAGTAACTGGTGAAAACCCCCCCAAAAGTCATTGAAATCGAAGTGTTGTCTGGTAAGCTTTTTTAAGTAGTTACAATAATTTTCATAACTAGCTTGATTTAATACCTATCTTTTTTCTTCCATTTTATATAAACAAACTCACATGTAGTAAAGATCAAAAAGGAAACCTTTTGATATCAGACATCAGGTAGCAGAGGAAAACAACCAATATATTATTAAAATTTCTGGCCATTTCAGAATTCTATCAAAATGCAATCATTTGAAAACATAGGATTGTTGCATTTTTGCTCAAGTGTATATCTATATCCCAAAATAAGATTGAAGTGGCACAAAATAAATGTCAAGGGAAATCTAGGAAATTTACTTGAAATAAATAAAAATATAAGGATAAAAGAAAGGCTCTATATCTAATGCCAAATATTTTATTACAGTAGATTTATATCCAAACCAATAGAAAATATAGATCATTTTATCTCTATGGGACTGGCTCTCAGTTGAGCCTTTTAGAAGCTGAAAATTCAATTGCTACCAGAGTTATGTTATTGATAGAAGTAGTAGGCATCACGGTTGTATTGCTAGTCATCTTAGAATTTGAATATACCTTTGGAATGGCACCCTAAATGCAAATGCTAGTCCTAAAAATAAAGAAGAAAGTTCAATTTGCCCTAGGGAGTGCTTGTAGATACTCTAAAGCATTTACCTCCCTTCAAGTCTTATCTCTGAACTGGACTTTAAAGATACAGGACATGTATCTTTGGATTCTGACTTCAAATTAGAGCCACACGCATAGAAGATACTCAGTAAATATTCAGGAAGATGATTGACCATGATGAATTCAGGCTTCTGGGAAAACAAAACATTATGGGGAAAATATATAATAATGAATCTTATCTGGTTCACAACTTTACCACAACTTCATCTCTACTCATTACAGAGCTTGAGCATACTATAGTAATTATAGTGAGGGATTTTTTTACCCAAGCATCTGCATGAAAAACTATTTTCTTACATAGTAGCTCAAATTGGGAGGTGAATGGTGAAAGCTCTACATGTTGGGTAGGGAGACAAACAAATGTGGAGGCAAACAGGCTCTTCTCTAACCCCTTTGAATCAGATGCATGATCCTCTTGACTGAGTGATAGAATTAGCCTTAATTCTTTAAATGTGAATACCTTCAACTCTGTTTAACCAAATCTTTTCAATTAATAAATAAAAACAACAGACTTTAATGAAGAGTAATGCTGGCGAATACTGATATAATAACAATTTTTTGCCCTGCTGTTAGACCTGAAAATGAATATTGTTCAGCTCTTAAGTTTAATTCTACCTCTGTAAGTTTCTGGACTATTCTTACTGCTCTTTTCTTCCATGGCCCAGAATCCTATACTGCCCTCAAACGAAGCTCAAGCCCCCGTTCTACCAAGACGGTTTCCCTGACTTCACCCACAATGTCATATCCCTGATTACAATTCTCCCACAACTATCTTGCTCCTCAACTTAATTAAAAACTCATCAAAAGTAGGGATTAAATTGTTTTCTTGTTTGTCATTAACCATTAACATGATACTCTGCATGAACATGAGGCATTGACATGTCACTGAAACTCTGAGATTTGATTTCTTTGCCTCTAAATTGACTATAAAAATCACTTGCTCTCTCTGTTTCATACAACTTCCATGAGCATAATCATAATAGTAACTTTAATTTGTGCATGTGTGTGTGAGAGAGAGAGAAAGCTCTTATTTGAGGAAGCTCTCTGACTATATATATTAAGCTTCTGACCTATGTTCTATTTCATAAGAAAACTAAATAATGATTAGAGCCAAGATTCACTGTCAGCAAAGCCCATACTCTTAATTAGTAGTATGCCAGGTGGTCTATAAGAAAATATTTAACGATATTATGTTTTTATTGTTAGTTGAGATACTGGCAGGTATTTTATGCCTATCGATTGAACTCAAAAGTAGAATGAAAAAAAGTAGTCTCAATGAGAGTGACCAGAGCCCTTTTCTTTGTCCCTAAAATACTCTCAATCTGCAAGTATGATTATGAAAGTGTTGCCAGTGTGAATTGGTAAAAATATGACCTGGGGAACTGAATGGCCTAGATTTACATCCCAGCTACACAATTTATTACTTATGTAATGTTAGGCAAGTTTCTTAATCACACTGTGTTTAATTTCACCATAAGTAAAATGGGAAGGATGATAGGGAGACTAAAAACAACAATTTCTGAGTGTCATTATAAGAATTAAATGAATTGTGATTTTCGTATGACTCATTTCAGACTGAGCTTCTTGCTTTAGAAAACAGTCTGGCCAGAATTGTTTCAGGTAATTTAACAGTTTCTGAAGCCTTTATGATTTGTCTTTTCTCAAATTTAAATTAATAAAACACGGCAAATGAAAAATCTAGACATGATTACAAGAAAAAGCACTTTTCATCTTAACCTGAGAATGGAAATTGTGTTTGGGTAGATTTTCAAAACATCATCTCATGTGCTTGTTAAATTATCTTGAATTCAATG